TTTTTAAGGGTAAGAATTAAATGATGAGCTAGTTACTTTTGTTAAAGGCTTATGAGTTAAGTACTCTGCATTATCACATAATAAATTTTAAAAGTTGCAAATAGAATGGCTAAGAATAGATTTTTTTTATTAGCAGTTACATGTTTTCTCTTCACTGGTAACTCATTTATTTGAATCTGAACTTTGGGGTTTGTCTTAATTACAGGTGGATTTTATCCAAAGCCAAGAAAGATGACACTGATGATGAAATTGCCAAATATGATGGTGAGAATTTTATCTAATTCTGATTTAGATAAATGATTGGGTTGAAGTTTGCCCTTTTGTTTTCCTGATATCTCAAGACTGTGTTAAAAGAAAACGTACATTTTAAGATTTTCATACACTTGTCATCTTTGTGATTTTATATTTTACAGTGTTAGAAGCCACTTCCTTCATAAGAGCTGTAAGCCCCCAATAAAGTGATCTTTAAAATAAATAAATAAAATCACTTTCTGGGTCAATTTTGACTCACAGTGACTTTCATACAGGGTTTGAGGCTGCAGATCTTTACAGGAACGACCAGTGGGTTTGCTACTCAACCTTGTGGTTAACAGTTCAGTGCTTACTATGCCACCAGGGCTATTTAATACTCATTTAAGAACCATAAAATTACAAGTTGTCACCTACGATGATGTGTGTTGGAAATGAAAGGTCTTATCTGGGCATTGGGAAAATGACTTCTACAATTTTAACAACAAACATGTTCTAGTGTTTGTTGGAGGAACCCTAACTGCAATTTGCAAGAGCTCGACTACTGACTGAAAGGTTGGTGACATGAAACCACCAGCTGTTTTGTGGCGAATAGTCTAGGTGATCTGTCCCCTTAAAGGTTACAGACTTGGAAACCTTCTGGGGGCAATTCTACTCTGTTCTACAGGGTTGTTATGCTATGAGTCAGAATCCACTGGATGGCACACAACACAAATCGATACGTGTTTTAATATTAATAGTTTCAACTCACAGATAATTGGAACATAACTACGATTTTGAGAGTGTGATAGACTTTCACAGCCTAGAGATTTTTTTGTCTTCTCATTTAAAGGAATAGTTAAGAAGTGGAACATTTTTGTGTTATCTTCTAGGAAAGTGGGAGATAGATGAGATGAAGGAGACAAAGCTTCCAGGAGATAAAGGACTTGTATTGATGTCTCGGGCCAAGCATCATGCCATCTCTGCTAAACTGAACAAGCCTTTCCTGTTTGATAACAAACCTCTCATAGTTCAGTAAGTGATAGGGGGGTGGGAATAGAGACCTTCTGGGAAGGGTGAGCCCAGAAAGGTGGCTTCAAGGAGACATTATATTGTAGAAGTATGTGTTTGTGGGGAAAAAATTAGGAGATTTATAAATTTATATTAACGTGCGCATAATTTTCAGAATATTTAAATAATATTCAGTGATGTATATTTTTTAACTTGCCCAAAAATTGTTTTGAGAACAACGGACTGTTTTTCTTGATAGCAAATGAGCCTTCTGGATTTTGTAAAAAGTATCTATTAGGAATCTGCATTAAGCATTTTTTATTTGTTGTTTTAGGATTGGGTAGCCATTCAAAAGCAACATAACCTTTCTTAAGGAGATTATAATAAAATACACAACCAAACTGGGCAAGAAGAGAAATTAAGAGACTCAAATTTGAAATGACCAGGTTTTTTTTCTGCTTTTCTCTCTGACATATTAGGTATGAGGTTAATTTCCAAAACGGAATAGAATGTGGTGGTGCCTATGTGAAACTGCTTTCAAAAACTCCCGAACTCAACCTGGTAGGTACTTCTGTTTTTAGGTTGCCACCCACAATTATCTTTAAAAATCTCAGACCAAAGGAAAAGGGAATGTTACAAGACCTGTGAAAATAGAGGCCCCCCGTGTTGATTAAATATTTTTGGAGGCCTTGGAACGCTGGCTTTTATTTGAAATTCAATTGGGCCATGAATTTCAAAGCTGGTACCAATTATTTCTGTTTTATAACTGCTTTTGGTTCTGTGAAATTTTTAGTTCAGCAAACATTTCCTTGTTTCTTGAAAGAAGGGGTAATCATATGCATAACTTTATTGTTATAACACTTAATAGTTTCTTATTTTTAAATTTCCTGATAATTGCTGGTATGAGAATAAGCCTCATAAAGTAACCAGCTTTTTCTTTAGTTGCAGCAGTAGTTTATTGGAATTTTATAAGAGGAAATAGCACAAGCTTTGTAAAGATTGCTTTTGAATACTCTGACTTAATTAAAGTAACTGTTTTTTTGTCTCTAAAGGATCAGTTCCATGACAAGACACCTTATACGATTATGTTTGGCCCAGATAAATGTGGAGAGGACTATAAATTGCACTTCATTTTCCGACACAAAAACCCAAAGACGGGTGTATATGAAGAAAAACATGCTAACAGGCCAGATGTAGATCTGAAGTCCTACTTTACGGATAAAAAAACACATCTGTTTACATTAAGTAAGAAAAACTCAGAGTGGGGGTTTCGTTGGAATTAAGCATTTGCCATCCGTTAATTTAAAGATGAAATATGTAGAGAAGTCCAAGCCTGCAAATAAGAAAGGAGTCATATGTCTTACTGGTGAAATGAGCTTAATTTGTCAGAAATGAAACTGTTCTTGGTTAAACAAAGGGGATGGCTGGTTGTCCTAAACTTGGATGATGTCACTTGGTAGCTAACCCATTTGTGTCAAGCCAGTGGTTAGTTTATGTACCTTTGGTGTTTACTATTGTTTTTGATGATCATAAATGAAGGTTTTGGTTTTTAAAAATTTAAACTGTCATTTGTAGCTTTTGGAAAGTAGGGGAACTAGAATTTTGTTTTCTTAGCTAAAGCCCAGTAGCATGTTCAAGGCTACTGCAGGCATGGTGCTTCCTTCTTTTAGAAGTTGTGAACTCTTGTGCTGTAGTAGAGAGAGCTTAAGATAAGTGATTAACCTTTATGTTGCGTTTAATTTATTTCAGTCTTGAATCCAGATAATACTTTTGAGATATTAGTTGACCAGTCTGTTGTGAACAGTGGAAGTCTGCTGAATGATGTGACTCCTCCTGTAAATCCTTCACGAGAAATTGAAGACCCAGAAGACCGGAAGCCAGAGGACTGGGATGAAAGACCCAAAATACCAGACCCAGATGCTGTCAAGCCAGATGAATGGTAAGTCTTTGGGGTCTGTCTTTAAGTGTTAGGAAGCATTTTGTATTTTCCATGTGATTAGCACAACCAAATGTTGGTTGGCTAAGAGCTAATATTTTCAGTTAGCTGTGCTACAGTTTGAACTATAAGGGGAAAAAAATGTCTACTGTAGCTGAAAGGGGGTCATAGTGATCATCTGGATGGCATGACTGTTTTGTTTGGCCTCTGGTAGTTCACATGACAGTTGAACTGCCCCATAGAATTTCCTAGGCTGTGATCTTTACCAAAGCAGATCATCCGACCTACCCGTGTGTGATATGAGAGGGTACCGCAAAAAACCTGAAACCAGTTTTCCTGCTAGGTGAGCATTGAGCAACTTGCTCTGATTAAGTACACCCAGTGGCCTCTCTTGGAAAGGTTCTCTCTGGTTACAATAAATTTTTTCGTAAAAACAATTTTGCTCAAACCTCATTTTTTTGTGATGGCCAATATAAGAACAGCGTGTAGCTGTGAAATTTTGTTTCATGCTTGGGAAAAATGCCACAGAAATTTGTGATGTTGAACACAGCTATCAGAAGAACTCAAGTGTATGAGTGGTTTTCTCATTTCAAAAATGAAATGTCAATTGATAACAAACCTCATTCTGGACATCTGTCAACTTCTCAAACAGACGAAAATGTCAACTCCATGGTGTATTTGTAGTTCTTTCCACTAGGTCAGACTGTTAATCAAGCTTTCTATTTAGAGTTTCTGAAAAGAATGCATAACCATGTGTGACAAAAAGGGTTTGTGACAGACGGGGGACTGGTTTTGCCATCACAGCAATGCACCTGCTCACACAGCCATCTCAGTGCACCAGTTTTTGGCAAAAAACACACACACCTATATCCCTCTCTTGGCCCATGCTTTTAACTCAACTGACACTCTGTGTGACTTCTTTTTGTTTCCTTGAATGAAGAGGGACATGAAAGGACAAGAATTTGATGACACAAAAAGTGAATTAAAAAAAACGAGAGATGACTCACTGACTCACTCTCACTCTCACTCACTCACTGTCTCACTCACTCACTGACTCACTCTCACTCATTCACTGACTCACACTCACTCAGTCTCTCTCACTGACTCACTGTCTCACTCACTCACACTCACTCATTCACTCACTGTCTCACTCACTGACTCACTCTTACTCACTCACTCACTCACTGACTCACTCACTCACTGTCTCACTCACTCACTCTCACTCACTCATTGACTCACTAAAAAAAAGAAGAAAAAAAGAGAAAAAAAAAAAAAACGAGAGATGATGTCAGCAACTCATCCAAACAGATGAGCTTGAAAAATGTTTTTTCCAAGAATAGAATCGCAGATTTGACAAATGTGTTAAGTGTTGTAATGGAGAGTACTTTGAATGTGATAACGGTTGTTTTGTTGAAAAAAGTTGAGTAACATAGCTTTGGGGGGGGGGAATTCTGGTTCTCCATTGTCGGTTCAAATTCCCAACCTGTCAGTAGCCAATTGTTAAACCTTTGTGTCACAGGAATTCTTGAAAAATATTTAAGTTATGAAATACTGGAATTATACTTTGATTTTTAAGAATGTAACTTTTTCCTATTTAGCTACAAACAGCACTCAAAAATACCTGCTCTGTGTCGAGCCATGATATACAACAAATTGAAAGGATAATATGCCTACACAGAGCTCCTAGTCTAGTTGTGAGTTGGCTGAGTCAATAAAATGGCCTGGGATCCATTAGCAGATGTTACTGGGTGATAAGAGCACTGAGTATATTTTATTCATGGTTTCTACTGTAAGAATTGTTTCTTAGTATATTTTATTCATGGTTTCTACTGTAAGAATTGTTTCTTACAGCAAAGCAAATCAGATTTGAGACTTGGAGGCAGGAGAAAAGTAACATAACTAAGTGGTGAAGGTAGGGAATTTTTTTTTAATGTCTTTGTTGGTTGTAGGAGTTACTTATTCTGGATTATTGATTTTTTTTTTAATCAGAGTAAATGATTTAAAAATATCATTTTAGGATGGACTATTTAAAATTTTGATACTAAGTAAGACCTAAATATTTTTGGTTTGCCATGTACAAGTCAATTTCACAAAATGGGATCATGCTGTAATTCTGTGACCAGTGTTGTTATTCTTGGCCTTTTCTTTTCTGAAGGGATGAAGATGCCCCTGCTAAGATTCCAGATGAGGGGGCCACAAAACCTGAAGGCTGGTTAGATAATGAGCCAGAGTATATACCTGATCCAGATGCAGAGAAACCAGACGATTGGTAAGAGCTTTAGTTAACTATTTTAAGCGTGTGTTTCTTTTGTAGTGAAAGAATGTCCAAAGATAGCTTGATGTCCAAATTCTTGTGTATAGCTTGAGAAATTTAATTACCTAATATAATATGGTAAAATATGCAATTCTCAACAAAAGACATCATTACTGAAATGTAAAAAGCTAAGAGAAGAGTTGCTAACTTGCTATTTGTGCCTCCACAGGGATGAAGATATGGATGGAGAATGGGAGGCTCCTCAGATTGCCAACCCTAAATGTGAGTCGGCCTCTGGGTGTGGTACCTGGCAGCGGCCTATGATTGACAACCCCAATTACAAGGGTAAATGGAAGCCTCCCATGATTGACAACCCTAACTACCAGGTTTGTGCCTCTTGCTGGTTGATCTGTCATCATTAAGTTGGAGAGAGTTGACATATGGCTCCATGACCACAGAAATTAAATCTTAACAATTGGGAGAGAATGGCTTTCATTGTGGCTTTATAATTAAGTTCAAAAAGAAAAAGAAACGGGTAACTTGTGATTTGGGCACCCTGTTATTGAGTTGTGGGGATGCTTCAGCTGGCGGGTTCAAATCTCATGATTGGCAAGTCTGCAGTATGATGGAAAGAAAATTGTGATGTGACTGGGGGCCTCAACCATGGCAAGCCAGCTCGTGGCTTGATCTCAGTATCTTCTACTGTAGAAGGTCTGAGATTCAAGTGAGACAGTAAGAATAGAAGTGTTTCAAATCTTCAAATGTGTATGAGAATGAACCATTCAGAGCCTTGTCTCTTCTTTTTCCGCCCTAGTAAAATTATGTTTTAGCCACTAGTTTTCACTTTGTCAAACTTAAATCATGGAAAGTGGGTCTCTCTAGATACATGCACTGTAGTTTTGGTTTCAAATACATTTTTCAATTGTGCAAACAAGAAGATCCTTTTTTTAAAATCATTTTATTAGGGGCTCATACAACTCTTATCACAATCCATACCCACATCAATTGTGTAAAGCGCATTTGTACATTCATTGCCCTCATCATTCTCAAAACATTTCCTCTCCACTTAAGCCCCCGTCATTAGGTCCCCATTTTCCCCGCTCCCCCCTCCCTTGATAATTTATAAATTATTATTTTGTCATATCTTGCCCTGTCCGACGTCTGTCTCCCTTCACCCACTTTTCTGTTGTCCATCCCCCAGGGAGGAGGTCACACATAGATCCTTGTAATCGGTTCCCTCTTTCCCACCCACTCTCCCTGTACCCTCCCAATATCGCCACTCACACCACTAGTCCTGTAGGGATCATCCACCCTGGATTCCCTGTTTCCAGTTCCTATCTGTACCAGTGTACATCCTCTGGTCTAGCCAGACTTGCAAGGTAGAATTCGTGTCATGGTAGTGGGAGTGGGGAGGAAACATTTAGGAACTAGAGGAAAGTTATATTTTTCATCCTTGCTACATTGCCCCCTGACTGGCTCGTCTCCTCCCCGAGACCCCTCTGCAAGGGGATCTCCAGCAGCCTACTAATAATGGGCTTTGGGTCTCCACTCCGCACTCCCCCTATCATTCACTATGGTAAGATTTTTTTTTGTTCTGATGATGCCTTAAACATGATCCCTTCGACACCTCGTGATCACATAGGCTGGTGTGAAGAAGAGCCATTTAAGAATTGTTCTTCATCTGTTGGTCATTTAGGTGGACTGCCATTTTGTCTTTTACCTTCAGTATTGTAGTAATCACCCTTCCCAGTTTCAGGGTGTGTGTGGTGAGTATTTCTGTAGGTAGTTTACCAGACATGAAACTGCTGATTGGAGATGATTTAAGTTTTAAGTCACCACTGAAAAAGCCCATACTGATTTATGCTACTGTTCCCATCATCATTTGCTAAGAGTAGAGGCTCCTGGAATGGTCCATGCAGGGGTATGTGGTGGTTTGGACCAAGGTCATGAATGGTATTGGGAAAAAATGTAGTTGGAGTCTAGAAAATGTTAGAGATAAAGGGTATGCAAAACACTGCACATGCTGCTTGGCACTCCACTAGCATTTTTACATTCTTTCTGTTGCTCGTTTAACTTTCATGAAATTGCCATTATTTCTATTGGTCTTACAGAATTCATCATAAATAAAGCTCATTATAATTGTTGTTGGTGCTTTTCTGAAAACACTTTTCTTCTCCCCCCTCCCCCCCATTCCCTAGGGAATCTGGAAACCCAGAAAAATACCAAATCCTGATTTCTTTGAAGATCTGGAACCTTTCAAAATGACTCCTTTTAGTGCTGTTGGTTTGGAGCTGTGGTCCATGACCTCTGACATTTTTTTTGACAACTTTATCATTTCTGGTGATCGAAGAGTGGTTGATGATTGGGCCAATGACGGATGGGGCCTGAAGAAGGCTGCTGATGGGGCTGCTGAGGTTCGTGCTTGCATCTTTCTGGTTTTGAGTCTGATTTTTGCTGCAGGTAACTAGTTGTTGTTTTTGTGAAAAGTTCTCTAAGGTTTTGGGTTTTCCCTTACTGACATAAAAAATGTGTCAATAAGTTGCTTGCTACAGAAAAATACTGGATTTTTGGACATGATTTCATATAATTAAAAGTGAGGTGTGTTTTAATGTGCTCTTAGATATTGAACCTCGGTTTACTCAGTTTGTGGAATTTTTAAACTATTGGTCATATGGCAGAGCTGGGAATTAAATTGAAGAGCCATGGACAGACATTGGGATAAAGAAATAAATTATTCTTTCACTGCTTCTTGAGGTTAAGGGATCCTTTTACGGTTGATTAAGAAACCAGCTTTCCCACTTATAAAAGGGGAAAGACCTCCATGAAAATGGAAGCTTTTGTACAATTCCCTTTTTGCCTGAAAACAAACAAACAAACAAAGAAAAGGGAGGTGCTCAAGTGAGTAGTGTCACGCAGTCGTTGAACAGTGAGACAGAGTAGCCTGTTTTTGGTGTCCAAAAAACAGAACTTGTAATCAGTGCTGTCTTGTCTTCCAGCCAGGAGTCATGAGACAGATGATTGAGGCAGCTGAGGAGCGCCCGTGGCTTTGGGTGGTCTACATTCTGACTGTAGCCCTACCCGTGTTTCTCGTTATCCTTTTCTGTTGCTCTGGAAAGGTAGGCATTTTCTTTGGAATCACTTTTAGAAAGATTTCTTGTGATTTAGTTAAAAATAATTATAATATGTTGCCTCAAGTTTCTCTGCAACAAGTTAGTAATGGCTGAGCCAAATTTGGTGTTGCCAAATACAAGTGTGAAGGTTTGATTCACTAATCCTCACTGGTCATCTGTTGTGCCCAGATGGAAGTAAAATCTATAGCCCTTCAGTTTCTAGTGTTATTTAGACTACCTCATAATTAATACTCTCCTTCACATTTGGCAGCAGCTTTTCTGAAAAATAAGCTTTGATATAAAACCAGCCCGCTGGGCACAGACCAGGCTTTTACTTCTAGCATAGCTGTTTCTATTCTTACACCTTTGTGATTATCCCTTGCCATCCTTAGCCTCCCATAAAGCACCTGGTGGAATTACTGTATATACTCCAGTATGAGCCGACCCGAATATCAGCCCAGGCACCTAATTTTACCATAAAAAAATTTGCGGAAAACCTCGGCTTATACACGAGTACATGGGTACTTGAGCTTTCATGTTAGTTTTTCTGTTTTCCCGTTGTTGCATGAAGCCATGTTTGTAAATGCACTTCTGTTTAGACTTTCTCTCTTCCTACTAAGTGAAGATTCTTTTTACATTTGGGACATGCTATAGTAGAATCAAAGTTCATTTTTGCCTTACTGTTTTTCCTGCTTTGATGTCCCCGACACCTCTATACAGATAGAAGAAAAACTCCTTGAGGAGAGCAGTGATAACCAACTCCCTTCTACATCTCCCTCCAGTGTGGAACCTGTGCAGACCTTAGCCTGTAGCTATTCAGTAATTATATGACCATGTAATATGGGAAAATGTGAATAAAACTGTTGCACTTTGGGGAATATTTTAGAAACAGTCTGGTGCTGTGGAGTACAAGAAGACTGATGCTCCTCAACCAGATGTGAAGGAGGAAGAAGAGAAGGAAGAAGAAAAGGATAAGGGAGATGGAGATGAGGAAGAGGAAGGTGATGAAAAACTTGGTAAGTCGTCAGATTGCCCAAATCTAATAGAAGCCATGATCCTAAGATGATGTTTCAGATACTCAGAAGCAAGTTAAAGTAAAAATTGTTTTATTAGACTTTTGAGGTGTGTTTTAATACTAATTATTTAACACTGCCCTCCAGGGCCAAATATATATTTAAATATTAAATATTTTAATTGCTTCTATTCTAGAAAAACAAAAAAGTGATGCTGAAGAAGATGGTGGCACTGCCAGTCAAGAGGAGGAAGATAGAAAAACTAAAGCAGAGGTGAAAAAGGGGGGTGGAGTAAGCTTTGTATTTTAAGCGACTAAATGAAAGGCATGTTCAAAATAAGGGTGATTGTCATAGATTGATTTACAATGGCTATGGCAATAAAATCTTGTTAAAAATTGAATCCTTGGGGATGAAGGCCAACGCTTTAGTTGGTAATTTCAAGCTACCTTTAATTCTGAAATAATTTTCTATGCTGAAAAATGTTCCTTTGGAATCAACAAAGTTTTAGGGAGAAAGCTAAATAATAAATAATGCACTTTCTAAGATGGTGTTTGAGGTTATTTTTGGACGGTTCTGTCAATCCTCCCTCTTGTCCCTTTTTTTTTTTTTTTTAACTAGTCACTGCATTCTAAAGGCTTCGTCCTTATTGTCCATAGCTTCATACATTTGATAGTGCCTGCCCATTAGTTAGTTCTATGCTAAGCATTGTTCCAAGGGTTTGTCGTGTATCAGGGAACTAATCCCGTAACTTCGGGAAGCTGAAGTCCAAGTAGGGGAAACAGACAACAAGCAGTTAGCTTTTAAGGAAATAAAAGACATAGAATGTTAGAATGTGATTGTCAGCAGAGGAAAGGGAGAGAGAAAGGTATTGGAAGTGCTAAGCGTGGCTGGTGAGACCTCATTAGAAGATGACATTGAGCAAAGATTTGAAGGGAAGTGAGAGTGCTTGCGGTGGGGAGATCAGTGAGTAGAAAGAGAACAGTCAGTACACAGGCTCTGAGAAGTCGTCCACTAGAATTGGAGTAGAAAGACAAGAGGGGAAGCTGCTGGTTAGGAATACTCTCAAGGACTTGGATAGACACTGGCTGTAACAGTGGGCTTAAACATAACATTTTTTAGTGTGGTACAGGGTCAGGCAGTGTTTAATTCACAACATAGGGTTGTTATGAGTTAGAGCAGACTCAGTGGGACCTAATAACAACTTAGGCCACTTTTAGACTTGTTTTCTCCTAGTTAAGTGGGTACTCTTGCAGGTTTTTGGGTAGAAGAGTGATGTAGTTTGATTATTCTGGCTGCTGTGTTCTTTAGATCAGGTAGACACAGACCAATTACTAGGCCCCCCTGTAAGCATTCTAAACAAGATATGGTGGCTTTGAGCAGGGTAATGGGAGTCAGGAACAGAGGACTAGGTGAGTTTCTGGATCAGGATTTTCTGATGGATTAATAATGAAGTAATTGGATTCTTGGTTTGAATAAGGGGAAGATTAGAGTTGCTGATACAGTTTTATGTTGAAACCCAGCCTGGCACAAGGGTTCATTGCCACATTTCTTTAATGTTGATTGTCCCCTAAATCATTACTAACGTTATCATGTCCACACTTTTGCTTTCAGACATCCCCTTTCCAGCATTTGTGTTTCAGTCTGATCCTTCCTATAAAACTACCAGTTCTCTTTCCAAGTGCCGCAGTTCTGCCCTTCTTTTGCTAAGTCAATGCTTTTCATATTCTTGTTGATATTTTCTGTAGATGTGGTCTGTTTCAACTAGAATGCAGTCCTTAAAGGTTCTCACGTACTTTTTATATCTCATAAACTAAGTTGCCTGGCACAACAAAAAGTAACTGTGGAGAAGCCATGGTCTTGTAGTGCTTACAGGTTGGGATGCTAACTGCAAGGTTAGCAGTTTGAAGCCACCATCCACTCTGCTGAGAAAGATGAGTGGACTCTTTCTGCTCCTATTAAGAGTTAGTCTTGGATTCTATGCTGTCTATAAGGGCTGCTATGGGTCGGGAATGAACTCAGTAACAGCAAGTTTGGTTTTTTGGTTTGAGGTATAAGGAGCCCTGGTGGCGTATTGAGCTACACTATGAATAGAATCGACTCGAAGGTAATGAGTTTGGTGATGGAGTAGGAGCATCAGGCTTGTCCTCTTAAATGTTGTTTGGGGCTTGACTAAGTAGTCTTTAGTCTCATTGCATCCCAGGTTTCTCATCTTCAAAGTAGGGATATGTTGCATACCAAGCAAGATAACATGTAAAAGCATAATGTTTGATCTGTTTTTAAAGTATTTATGCATAAGACCAGTGTTTCCCAAAGTGGGTAATACAGCCTCCTGCTGGTGGGGTGTGGCACTGGAAATATGGCGGTGGGGGGGTGGAGCGCTGCAAAAGCAAATTCAGATACTTTTCCCCTCTCCTTTCCTCAGAAGGGGGCTGTCAGCCAAATAAATTTGAGAACCTTTGGGTTAGACTAAGTATATGTAGTGGTGGTGTTTCTAAAACAAGGACAAGTAAGCTAAATTTTAGTTTGTGGACAAATCCCATGATCTCTTCATTCTTTTTTGCATGAATTCTTTGAAACTCCATTAATAGACCCACCCACACAGACCTAGAGGGAGGGTAACATAATAAGATGAGATTGGATTTTTGTTTTAGTACATTTCCTTCTAACCAGTTTTCTCGAGTTCTTTCTTCTGGATTACCCTCAGCCTGACTTACCTTGGAAATTGGGTATTGTTTGTTTGTTTGCTTGTTTTCCCCTGTTTTCTAATTACAGTAATTTTCTTGTTTTTCCAACCAACAGGAGGATGAAATTTTGAACAGATCACCAAGAAACAGAAAGCCTCGAAGAGAGTAAAACAATCTAAAGAACTCGGTCTGTGATTTCCTCCCCCTTCCCATCCCCTGCAAATGTGGTCCTAGGAGAGGACCCAGCACACCTTAGGTTGAAACTCAGAAAACCTCAAGACGTCACCATCAACAGGTTCCCGTTGAACACTAGCCTATGTAACTTTGAACATCTATCAGTAAATAATTGCAGTTGTGGCATAAGGGACTCTGTATCTGTAGACAGCAAGCATTTAACGTAATGGTTGTGAAGTGTAACCTGAAACAACTAACTTGTAATTTTTGTTTCTAAACACTTTTCTTATTTTAAAATGAGTGATAGAACTTTGCCAATCTTTAAAATCTTGGCTTAATTTAATATATTAATCTGTCCATGCAAAAATAACATCAACATTTAGAAATACTAGGACAGTGAATTACTGTTTTTGTAACAGATTTTTTTTTAAGTTTGGTATTACAAAACATTCAAGTGTCTCTGTCTTAAAAATTATGAATCATGTTTAAAATGCAGTCTTTTGTGGTTATAATCTTGTTTGGCTTGCTTCCATTACTCAGTTCCTTTCAGGAAACTGAGAAGGGTTAGATGGAAGCCCAAATTTCGTAAGTTATACTAAGAGATAAATTGTTTTTTCATTTGATGTTAGTTAACATAAAGTTATGTGTGTTCTGTTGTCCTTGGAACTGCTCAGTTCCACAGCAGCTTTGCAGCTTGTGGAGGAGGTGACTCAATGTGGCACTGAGGCATTCATTCTTCACACCAGGGGGTCTGGCATGGCCTTGGCCTTCTCCCACCCGTGGTTTGTAAAGGAACGCTGGCAGGGCTTGAGAGCTCTGGAATAGATGCAAATATTGTAATCTCCTTTTTCACCGTGTTGACACTGTTTCCTTACCTAGTCCCTTAAACTCCAGCTTTCTCCTCTGCTATGCATTTTCTTCACAGCACAGCTTGTCGTCCGTTGCTGAAATAATTATAAGCTCTGCATAGTGTTAAGCTTTATTGTGATGTATGTTTCTTTTTCCTTTTTAAGCAGGCCCACACCTTTCCAGGGTCAAAGTACAGGATAGACTACAATCTTAATTTTTTCCCCCATTTACTCGTTGTGAAAGACTTTACAAAGTCTAATCCCGAGGCAAGCCAATTCAGAATTGACTGTAATTAAACGAAGGCTAAAAGTATTCATGGGAGGAGTGACATAATAGCATGAATTACCTGATTTTTGTAGCTGCTAAATCTTTCACGTCTTTGTTTGCAGTTATGTAACAGTTGTGTCTTAAATTACACAATAAAGCAATCTTGTTTAATTTTTTTTTTTAAGTATGTGGCTTGTAAAAATTTTTTCTAAGTGGTCTTAGAGTTATTGTTTCATGTGGAATGCAGATGGGTGCTATCAGAGCCTCTCCCTCATTAATATAGTGTAATATTATTACACCACACTGAAATGTATTCATCCATTTTTTCCTCAGAGGCGCTTCAATTGTACCAATGATACTGTACCTTGCACTGAATAAACACTCCAGTGTTTATATTGGGGAGATTACTAAGGAATAAGGACATTCGTTAAAAAAATGAAGGCTGTAGCTGTTTATTTTGTTTATCTTTAACATTTTTACTGGTTCACAGATTTCTTTCAAGGGTGGGGTGCATTTTTCTTGCTGGTCATTGCTTTATTGTTTTCATCTGTTGTTTATGGTCACAGTGACCTTAGCTATGTATCAGACTTCCCCAGATGTATTGAGTACAAATAAACAGTTACTTAGCAAGACCTTAACATTTGTCTGCAGGTTTCTCCTTGAAGAAATGTGTAGGATCACTATATTTCCCAGAATCTGCAGCCTGCACTCTTCCAGTGAAGTCATACCTCAGTTTCTTCCCGCCAAGCACTGGTGTGTTCATTCCCCCTCTCTCCTATCCCACGTGCCCCCAAATAACACAATGCTTTGTCTTCTCATTTTCACTGTTTGCGTCAAGGTGCAGCCTTCCGATTAAATGTCTTGATACATTGATGAATGACCAGCAGCAATTTCCAGCTAAAAAGGCACTTAGGATTTTTACATGCTGGTCATATGTCCCATTGTTGTAAAAAAAATGCCCACTCCCCAGCAGGATATGCTCCTCAACTTATCCACAGAGAATTTCATTTTGTCACATTACTAAATGGTATTACATTAAAGCCCTTTGTTAAGTGTCTACTTTTGGCTGAACTTATTCATGCGTGATCTTCAATGTGTGTTTCATTCTTTCAGTAGTGGGGTATTCTTTAATTGACTACTGCATGAGACTTTCGTAATGTGCAGAAACTGTTGGGAGACTGTGGAGTAATTGTTATTTCAAGGCATGAGCTAGTCAGTCTTCAATTTGCTCTTAACTCCTCCTCTTGCTGAATTGTAGTAATTTCTGTTGTATAATAGAACAGCTCAGAAAGGGAGGGAATGCTACTGATCATTTATAGATAATACTCTTTTAAGACTTACAGGTACCATTGAAATTAAAATTTTAATTAGAGAATAGTTTCTCTAGACTCCCATCATTCATAAGTTTTACATATTTCAGGATGTTTTTAAAAGTATGCTAAAATAATTTTTCTGTGATCTGTAAAGCTTTTGAATTGCATGCTGAGTACCTAAAATACAGTGCACCTTGTTGCTTTTTCTCATTATATGAAATGAAATAGATTAACTGAGTAAAACTATTTTAAAAAGTCAAACCATGGTCCCTTTGACTCAGTGACCTTACAAGGCAGAGTAGACCTGCCTCTTGGGGTTTCTGACACTTGAAATCTTGGATCAGACAGCCTCAGTTCGTCTCCAGAGGAGCTGACCTTGTGGTCAGCAGCTTAACTTCCAAGACTACATTATGACTTTGATGTGCTCTAGGTACTTGATGGCACTGTGGGTTAGGTGTTGACCAGCTCGCTGCAATGGCTGCAGTTCAAATCTACCAGCTGCTCCCTGGGAGAAATGTGAAGCTGCTTGCTCCAGTGCAGATTTAGTCAAGAAGCCCTAAGTAAGATTGCTATGAATCAAAATGGACTCCATGGCTGTGGGTGGTATGCCACTACCTCCTTAAAAAATATTAAAAAGTGTATTTATTGATTGTATTTGTATAAAAATGGTATTTGATCCTTAAAAGTTCTTTTTTTTTTTCTTCTGACTTTAATAAAATAAAACTGATGAGTCCTTAAAAGTATTGTGGACCCTGGGTATTGTGACTAGTGGATGAGTCAGTCCTGGGAGAAAATGTACCAGTTTATGTTATTGATGATGGTGCCCTCAGTGTGCAGACTTTCTGGCATCTTGATGATTTACCTATTAGCAGTTAAGGTACTAATGCCTTCAAATCCCCTTCACCTACTGTTTAAGAACTAAAGCCAAGTGAGCAGGAACGAATTGTCCTCAATTTTACCTAATAGAGCATCTTCTAAAGGTACAGTCCAGTCACCTTGTTTTTGAATGAAGTGCCTTTTTCCCCCTTTTTTAACATTTTTATTGGTACTTTATCCACATATACAATTCAATGATTCAATTATATTAAGAATTGTACAGTCATTAAGCAGTATCTTTCAAAAAGCTTTTAAAGGTGGGGAGGGAGGGGAAAATGAAAAGCTCAAGTAGAAGATGTTTTGAAGATGATGGATGGCGACAAATGAACAAATGTGCTTAACAACAATGGATAGATGTATAGATTGTGATACAAGTTGTACGAGCCACCAATAAAATGACTTTTAAAAACCTTAAGTATACTGACAAAAACATACTTAAGTAGTTTCTACATGTACAATTCAGTAACATTGATGACTTGTTTTGAGCTGTGTAACCATTCTAGCTTTAGTTATTCCTCCTAACTAATCTCTGGGGTTGCCGTTAATAGATCCCTTATCCAAGCCAAAAACTCAGCCATTCAAGTCAATTTTGACTCAGTGACCCTATAGACGGTAGAACTGCCCCTGTGGATTTTCAAGATGCTAATTTTTAAAAATCTATTTTGGGCTCTTACAGATCTTATCAACAATCCATAATTCATTTGTATTAAGCACACTTGCATATATGTTGCCATCATCATTTCCAAAACATTTTCTTTCTACTTGAGCCCTGGGTATCAGCTACTCTTTTCTCCCCTCCCTCCCCTGCCCTCATGAATCCTTGATCAATTATGTATTATTTCGTATCTTACATCATCTGTTGCCTTCATCTACATTTCTATTATGTGTCCCCCTGGGGGAAGTTTATATATCCAACCTTGTGATCATCAGTTCCCCCTACCCTCATGGTATCCCTACTCCCACTACTGTACCTGAGGGGTTTATCCTGGATTCCATGTGTGGAGAGCCCTTATCTGTACCAATGTACGTACTCTGGTCTAACCGGATTTGTAAGGGATAACTAGGTCATGATGGTGGGGGTAAGCATTCAAGACCTAGAGGAATGTGCTTTGTCGGTGCTATACTGCACCCTAGTTGAATCATCCCTTGTGACCCTTTTGTGAGGGGATGTCCAATTGTCTACAGGTGGGCTGTGGGTCTCCACTCTGAGCCCCCTCATTCGCATCAATATAATTGTAGAAAGTCTACTCTTCCTTAAGAGTAGCTGGTGGGTTTGGACTGCTGCCCTTGTGGGTTATGCCCATTGCATAACCAGAGCTCCTTTGATCCCATATGGACAGATTAAAAATGCATCATGCTCAAGGCAGACATTTTTTATTAGTCAAAACTGTTCCAGGTTTTAAGAGTTCAGGGTATACTTTCAGTGTGAAGTTAGTGTACCGTCTTAGGACAAGCTTTTAGAGGTTCTTCGGAATCCATGGTGCATGAGTCTATAGAGTCCATGAAAATTTGAAAATTCACTGAATTTTCTGTCTTTTGATTAGAATCTTGAATCAAATGCTCAGTAATGGTTACCAGGCCCCATCCAATCCAGTTCTGGTCTGATAATAAAGGAGGCAATTAACCACACAGTCCATTTATGTTAGGAGAAACCAGTCCCTGGAAAAGGAAGTGCTTGGTAAAGTATAGGGGGGCAGGGAAAAAGGAAGGCCCTGGACAAGATGGACTGACACGGGCTGTCAGAACAGGCTCAAACAATTGTGAGGATGGCGCACCCCCCAGGCGGTGTTTCCTCTTAGGGTTCTGTTGTGCATACATGAGCCACATAGTGCGGGGCCTCACTATTGCAGACCGGAAGAGAAGGGTTTCTATCCCTGTAAAGATTGGCGGTCTTGGCAACCCACAGGGGCAGTTCTACCCGTTCCTATAGGGTCACTGTGTTGGCGTCAACTCAGTGGCAGTTTTGCGAGCTTACCTGACCAATTAGCGATTATAAATGCAAGGAATGAATTCAAAGGGTTACATGCTGTCATTGACATGGCTACCTTGAGCTTATCATAATCGAAGTTCACAGGGAGTTGGAGAGAAGAAAGGTGTGTGAGGCGCTAGCCGGCCGGCTAGGCCAGCGTCAGGGCCGGCCCTGCTCACCTCCGCGCACCCGGAAGGGCCTGCGCTGGGGGCGGTGTTCGGAGAGCCTCCAGTCACCGCCCTCCGACGTCTCCTGCACGAGGCCCGCCCCCGGGGCCCCTCCGCCCTCACGAAGTTCCTTTTAAATACCGCCCGGGAGCCTACGCGCCCTGCTTACGTGCGCATCTCGCCCACCCGCGCCCGGCCGGCTCTTGCCTCTGATTGGCCGGAGCCCCTGTTCTTCCGCCGTGACGTCCGAGGTCGCCGGCCGAGGTTCCGCCCTCTTCCGAGAGACCCGAAAACAATTTTAAGATGGCGACGGCGGCGGTGCGGAAAACAATGGGGCCGGGGCAGCGGGGACAGGCCCAGGCCTGAGTCGGGCTGTGTGCGCCGGCTCGAGGGTGGCCGAGCGGGGCAGGAAGAAGGCCCCCAGCCTCGTGTCGCAGCGAGAACCCGCCCCGCGTCCCGCGGGGCGATGGCGCGGCCGTGAGGCGGAGAGGGGCCGCCGGCGGGAGCGGAGCCCGCATTACCAGCCGGCCCGGAGAGGCTCGGCCCCGGGCCTGGCCCGCCCAGCCTGCGGCCCATGGTGCTGCCCCCCTGCCCCATGGCGGAGTTCGCGCTGCCGCGGCACAGCGCGGTCATGGAGCGCCTCCGCCGGCGGATCGAGCTCTGCCGGCGCCACCACAGCACCTGCGAGGCCCGCTACGAGGCCGTCTCACCTGAGCGCCTGGAGCTCGAGCGACAGCACACCTTCGCCCTGCACCAGCGCTGCATCCAGGCCAAGGCCAAGCGCGCCGGCAAGCACCGGCAGTCGTCCGCCCCGGCCCCGCGCCTGGACGCCGCCGACGGTCCCGAGCACGGCCGCCCCGTCGCGGTGAGTAGGGCGGCCGGGGAGCGGGCTGGCAGGTGTCGGGGTGCCGCTCCTCCCTGGCGCCGGGCCGCTCCGGAACTTCCCGGAGTGCCGCGACTGCTCCAGCCAAGGGGAGAGAGCGGGGCAGGGCAGGCATGGGGCGGCCGCCGGGGGTTCTTGTCATCTCGGGCACTGGCTCTGTGGCTTCGCTCCGAGACGACGTTACCGTCAGGATTGACGGCTAGCCCGAGGTGAAGGCTGCTGGAGGCCAGCGCGATCCTTCGTCTCCCGGGCGTGTGACCAAAACTGTAGGGACTTGATTTTGGGACAGACCTTGTTAGATGTGCCTGCACTGTGGGGGTTGTCTTAGCACGGCATTGACGATCGCTGTTGATTGAGAGGTTTATTGCACCCTTGCACTTTTTAAAACCCAGTGCTAGAAGGAGTGTCTGGGCTTAAGTATGGGAGCCAAGTGGTTTGAGTTTATGGTTCTGAATGGCAAATTCACAATCTTCGGAAATCTTAGGAGACCCTGGAAGTTGTAAGCTCGTGATCCCCACCGTGTTGCTGACAATTTCCGTTTTTAAGGTATTGAAAATGTCTAGAGCTATTGGTTTATTGGCAAATCATTATACCCTTTGGCTTATCGATTTGACAAATTGGGAGCTTTGGGGATAGAGGTTTTAGAAGCATTTTTTTTTAAAGGGGGCTGCAAGAAAATGCAGTTTTTGCTCTTTTTCCTGGTAATGTAGTTCAGGTGCCTGTGTTCATTCTAGTTTGCTCTCTGTATTTTCTACTTGACATGTTAATTAATAGCTCTTACCTGGGTCGTTGTAGTTCTCACCTCAACCTAGTCTAAAGAGTCTTTCTGTGGAAAGCCTCCTCCTTCTTTGCTCTCTGCGAAAGGTATGTACCGAAAACTCCACCATCATACTGCTTAAGAAAAAAAATGATTGCTTGAAGGGATGACCTTCCAACTCTTGACTGCCCAGGCCAATCTGGCCTAACCCGTCACTCCGTGTCCCTCCACAGGTCTTTGCTCTAGTTGAATTGTTTTCCTCATTCTTGCCTCACTAGCCTGGACTGCAGGACTAGAAGGCAGAATATGTGTGTTCAAGCACAGGTTTTATTGCTTATTGTAGCTACTGGCCAAGTCTTCGTCTTCAGCTTTTCTCAGCCTGTTAACCTGGGGTTATGTTTGGCCACCTCTTAACCCCCAGGATTCTTACAAGACCCAAGAGAAATAGGTGTGAATGTGAAAATATTCCATAAACAGAAAAGCTTCCTACAAGACCCCCTTCTCCCCAGTTTTTAGCATCCTGCCTTCCTTCCAAGTTCTACTAATTTCCTTTCTCCTCTTAAAATTTTCTTCCGACCACCCCAGCCCGTAGCAGTCAATCTCTTTTTTATCAGAATATTTGGCAACCATATTCTCTGGCATTTACTTTTAATGCATAGTTACGTACTCCTTTTGGTCAGGTCTTGCCACTAGACTGTAAGCTCATGGAGGCACCGAGGGCCCTTCACTCAGAGTACACAGCATGAATCTGGAGTCATTTGTATTAGTGTGATAGTATTTTACTCGGTTATGCTTCTATATGCCAGCCTCAGAAAGTAAAATGACTAACTTTATGAGCCACCTGTACTAATAACTCTTAGTTTAAGGATAAGACTGCAGGAGTTGTGATAGCCATTCCACTTAAGGTTGGTAAGGAAAGCTCTTGAAACTCAGTTTTACACACATACAGTTGCCTTGAAGACTCAGTTTAAAAAATTCACTGCCATCGAGTCAATTCAGATTCATAGTGACCCTATGGGTCAAGGTAGACTGGTGCCTTGTTGGTTTCTGAGACTGTAACTTTTTTTCGGGAGTAGAAAGCCTCCTATTTCTTTTGTAGAACAGCAGGTGGTTTCAAACTGCTGACTTTGTGTTAGCAGTCCAACAACTTAACTCTATACCACCAGGGATCCTCAGTTGCTTGAACACTCAATGTATGTTAAAACCAAATCAGTGGCTGCCGAGCTGATTCTAACTCTTGGCGGTCCTATGTGTTTAGTAGTACATCTGTTTGTGCCCCATAGGGTTTGCAGTGACTGTGACCTTTCAAAGTAGATCACTACCATGGTCCCTATCCTGCCCCAAGAGTCCTGCTGGTAACTGCTTATGTGGTAGTCTCCTTTGACCTCCCATGCCCTTTTTAAAGCTATGTATCCCATCAACTTCTTGGACACCATTATGACCTTGTGCTAGTGGTCTCCCTTATCCAGCTAATCTTTGACTCATTTAAGACATAATATTCTATTTTAAAAATAAATCACTGGAACTTTCTTTTGAGGTGCCTTGGGGTAGATTCGAACTGCCAACCTTTTGATTAGTAAGCAAACACCTAACTCCGAAAAACAAACCAAACTCACTGCTGTTGAAGTCAGTTCCAACTCATAGCAACCCTATTATCTGTGTCCGAGACATACCTTCACTGGAACAGCCAACCTCATCTTTCATCTGAAGAGTGCCTCATGGGTCTGAACCACCTATCTTGGCTAGCAGTCCACTGCTCACCTGACAGCATCACCACAGCTCCAAGCAGTTAAATGGGATTGATTAAATGCCTGTTTAAAATTAGACTTCATATCCTGTGTGATATGAAGATACTTAGAAGAAATGATGATATGTTTTGGAGAAAAATCAGTTCTACATGTGTTAGAACTTGAATCTGATTTGTTATTTGTTCTCTGTGTTTCACAGCTAATCAGATATGCCATGTTCTCTTTAATGGTATAATACATAACTATGACTCATGTATTCCATGAGTTTAGACGCAAGTGTTAAGTTTGCTCTTTTCTCTAAGAGGACGAGTGACCCTTTGCATTTTACACTCACAAGTTACTCTAGCCGAGCTTTGGCCTGGAAACGAGGATGTAGGATCGGAAGAGTAGCGTGAAGAAAACAATGGCATTTTCAGTTTTAGTGGCTCATTCAGCTCTGAGAGACTTTGATTATGATTTCAGCTTCAAGAGCACAGCTTTATGTAGACAGATGGAGAGAAGTTGTCACTTAGTCATTGATACTTTTAACAATTCTGCATGTGTTTGAGCTCATCAATATTCTTTAAAAGGCCTTTTACAATTATAGCAACAACACTAAAAATTGATGCCCAGTTCTTTAGCAACCCTTACACAGTTGCTGCTGAGCAGAGAGGAATTTACTAAGTAGTTTTGATAGTTGCCAATGGATTTTGTTACATAATATATAAATATTAATCATTTATTGGGGGCTTGTACAACTC